AGACTGTCAATAATTTCTTTGATAATGTTCTCAACATTAATATTAAATGAATTATTGTTCATGGGTGGCAACAACCATTCGAACTTTTTTTTTTTGGTTTGTGGAATTAAAAAGAGAAATTTTCTTATTTTATATTTATCATCCAATGAATCAATAATAAAAAAAAAAGAACTAGGAAATATTTACAAGAATTTGTCTTCTTTCTTTTAGTGTAGAGTTAAGATATAAGCACAAACCCTTCTTAAGCCCCCAAACTTATCCTAAAATAGCATTTAAGCTCTTAAACTAAAAACAAAACAGATAAGCCCTTCCACTCCACTAATGATACAAGTAACTCCTTTTTACAAATGAGCCAAACAGAATTTCATGTCTAATATCATCTTGAAAGCATAAAAACCCATGAATGAGAAGGGCTTATTTGCATCATTAATGGAGTTGGAGGGCTTATTTGTTCCATTTTTAGTTTAGAGGCTTAAATGTTATTTTGGGGTGAGTTTGGGGCTTAAGAAGGCTTTTTGCCTAAAATATATTTACAAAAGTTTGGTTTAAAATAAGGGAAATAATATTTACACACTCTCCCGTTACACCCTTCGTCACACACTCATTCTGTTTTTGTTTCTCTCCGTTTTTTCCTTTAACCCAGCAACTCTCCTCTTCACCCAGCACTGGTTCTTTGATTTTCAACCTTCTTCCTTCTTCCTTCTTTCCCCTCTTCCTCCTTTCTTTTTGTTCTTCTTTCCCTCTCCTCCCCTTTTCTTCCTTCTCTTCCTCCCTCCTTGATCTGTTGAGGAGAACCTAGATCGAGTTCTTAAGGAGAACCTCGATTTGGGTTCTCCTAGAGAAACCCAGATGTGAACCCAAATTTGGGTTCTACTGCAGAACCCGATTTGGGTTCTCCAGCATAACCCAAATGGAGAACCTAGACCAAGTTCTCAATCTAGGTTATCCAAATGGAGAGAGCAAAAAAAAAAAAAAAAAAAAAAAAGAGGAAGAAGGAAAAAGGAAGAAGATAATGATTTTGTTAGAATTTTTACAAATTTGATAATATAGTATGTTGTTTGGTTAATAAGAAAATTGGAAACTTTCCTCTAACATTTCAAACCCAAGTCAATTGGAACAATAAGAGAGGGAGAAAGGAAAGCAGGGAGAGTAAGAGGAAAACAGAGATAGGGAGAAAGGAAAACAAGAAGAGTAAGAAACAACGTCTAGAGATAATGGATTAAATAACAGAAAGTAAAGGTGTGTGATAGAAGGTGTAGACGGAGAGGGTAAATGTATTAGATCCTTAAAAGAAACATAAGGAAATTAGAAAATTTTAACCAATCATTTAATTAGACAAAAAATTTCTCTTCTTCTCCCTTTCACTAGGTAAATTTTCTCTCAAAAATTTTTATAATGCCAGGAAAAAAACATTTAATTTTTAAAAAAATCCGAAGCTAATTTTGGAAAGATGAAATTTGAAATGTGGAAAGGCCCGAAGGCCGGAAAAAAAAAAAACGTACTCTTGTGAAGGTCTG